AAATGCATAGATAAGTGGTCCACACTTTTTCCTAATGACGAACATTTTTTACAACTTTCACATTCGTTAGTTTGCCATGGTACGACGTTATGTGACAAGAGGCACACCTCAGGGTGGCGTGCTCTCACTCTGTGCTCTTTAGAAATTAACCGTGAACTCTCTCTCTTATGAGAAACGAATTAGGGAAGCGTTGTCGCTTATGCGGCTGACGTAGCCATCGCATATGGGGGACAAGTACCCGTAAACTCTGTGCGACTTGATGCAGGGGGCACTTCGCGATGTATCAAGATGGCTTCCGCGTTGTGGTCTCTGCGTTAATTCGGCAGGAGTGGAACTTCTTCTCTTTACGAGAAGATGCAAGACACCGCTACTGACTCCGCCTGAACTAAACGGGCGACTCTTAAGCCTTACTGAGCCGGAAAGAGAACATAGTCCAACGCTATAAGAAGACTTCGTGGCCCTATTTTTGTGCAAGAGGGCCATTGGTAAGAAATCGGAGCTGAGCCTCAGTATATACCGCTGGATTTATACAGCGGTGATCAGACCGATTCTCCCTTACGGAATTATAGTACAGTGGCATCCCTTGGACAAGGTCTCTATTCTTAATCTATTCAGCAAATTACAAAGGATTAGTAGGATCTGCATAAGCGGAGCAATCCGGACAACGACAAATGATGCTTTGAATATCTTTTTGGATCTTCTGCTACTAGATCCAGTGGATGAGCAGATGGCATCTCCTGCTGCACTTCGGTTAAGAGAGGTAGTAAAATGGGAATCGGGACTGCTGAGTCACTCCTGCATTCTGAAAAAATATAGCTTTCTTCCGGGTTATACAGACTGTTGTATTGAAACTCCGGTTTCGGATAGAAACTTCGTCATAAAAATCCCAAGCAGGGATGAATGGGTAGAAAACTACTATACACCACCCGGTAGGATAGTAATTTTCACAGATGGTTCAAAAATGGCTGGTGTAGTTGGAGGGGGCTTATTTTTCGCAGCCTTACCCTGAGCCGTTAATTTCGACTACTGAACTACTGTACTGTCTTCCAGGCTGAGGTCTCAGCTATAATGGGGGCTGTAAACGAACTTCGTACTGAATAGGTGTTCGTTTTCAGTGACAGCCAGACATCAATTAAAGCTGTTAGTTCCGTCACAATTACGTCAACAAGTAAGTTTTAAACAAAAAACAAAACCGACTTCAATTCTGATATAAAAATTTAAGATTACCGTTAATTTCTTCATGGCCCAAAGATCGGAACCACCTCTGAGGTACTACCTTTCTGCTAAACCAAAAATTATAGAAATCGGTTAACGTGGTTCAAAGATATGCGGTAACACAAAAAAAATAACAAAATATTCCGACGAACTCATAACCTCCTCCTTTTTTGAAGTCGTTTAAAAATTGTGCTGGACTGCCACCGATTTCTGCAAGAGATGGCTAAGCAGAACAGTATAAACCTTATTTGGTGTCCCAGACATTTGGAATATGTATAGAGGGTAACTGTATGGCGGACGAACTTGCGAGGGGGGTACGACCAAGCACATTCTTCCGGGTAAAGATGTATTGGTATGCTCTTCGCCACTTGCAAGCTGCTTTTAAGAAAATTTATCTACTATTTGTATATTCGCGCGAGCGAGAGATGTATGCAAACTACGACTTGTGGAATTTATAGGCAAACTTGGCCTAGGTGGGATCGAGAAATGTCTCGAAGCTTTTATTCTCTAAAGAGGGAGAATATATATGTATTTATAACGAGCCACTTCCTTATAGGTAGGAATGAAACGATACGAGTAAATACAAGTACATATTCGATGCTTTTCGTTCGATACCAAGAAATTTTGGTATCGATACTTTTGAAACTAATACTTATATCGAGGCAAATTTTGCTTCGGCAATTTTTCCTCCACTGTTACCTATTCTTTACAGACGTTGTTGAACTCACTGAGTAATCTATTAGATCTCGTTCACATGGCAGGCGCTTAACCATCGCTTTGATCACCTAAGAGCGGGATAATACTAAAGACCGGAAAGTCTGGCTCTGTTATTGAAGAAAAGAAACAAAAAAGAAAAAGAGCCCCACAAAAAGTTGATTACAAAAAAATCTTAAGCAATTAACTGAACCATTAACCGAACCGAAAATCTCCACAAATGTTTGATCCGATCCGAAAACCGAACCACTTTTCATAAAGGTTTAAAGGTTCATTTCAACCAATTTTCAATAGAAAAATTTATCCGCTTTTGTTTCTTTTCGTTAAAAATGTTAATACATACCATGTTTGTTTACCATGGGGCAATATCAAATGTAAGGGCAACTCATCCCATTTAACACACTCTTGAAATTTAACCCGCGTTGTTGCACTTGACACTTTACATTTAGACTTGCGCGTTTCTTCTTTTCCGAACCATTGAACCGAACTTAAACCCCGATTCAAAGACCAAAACAACCGCTTTGTCGAACCAATCCAAAAGTACAAAAACGGTTCGAACCGCTGAACCGAACCGACCAAATTTTTTCATCCAGTTCCCGGATAACTTATTCAGCCATATCATGAGTTTCATTTTTCCCGAACCGGTTCATTTTTCACTTTTGGTATCCATGGTTTCACTATGGGCGGATGCCAAATTTTCGTCTGAATTTTTTTCAGGCGAAACTCAGGATAAAGCAGATTTAGTTCAAACGAATAGCAAACCGGCATTTAAATATCTGCATACATACATACCTAACCAATTATGCATGTACGCGGAATTCGCCGACAAGCTTTTTTAAAAACGAAGTAAATTAGATAAATTGTTAGTAATTTTCATTCGAGTTTGAATAACTCCTTTCACTAACTGGCTTTTAGTAACTTTAACGAGACCTTAACTTATTTTATTTTATTCATTTTAGTGCAGTTTTGACAAAATTTTCTTGCTAAAAAATCTTTTGTTACACTTCTTCGTTTTATTCCTTTGATTGTACAGTAGAGTGGTCCAAAAAAATAAAGTCGGAGTTTTAATGCCGGCACACCCTAGGATTGATCTATATCGAAAAAAATACACCAAAATTTTTTATTTTGAAATCAAAAAATATTTAGGGAGTGCTCAAAGCGCTCAAAGTTTTCCATGTATTTTATATAGAGAAAAAACATCTTTTCGTAGAAATAGTGTAGAGTTCTTGAAAATCAATATTTTTCGATCGGAAAACTTTACTTATCTTCAGAAGACTCCCAGTAATAATACGCAATTGTTTTTTTAACAACTTTTTCATAAACAATTGGATATTAATACAGGAAGTCTCCTGTAGCGAACCACAGTTTTCCGGTCGAAAAATATTGTTTTTCAAGAGTTTTATACCATTTCTACGAAAAATTGTTTTTTCTCCATATAAAATACATGGAAAACTTTGTGCGCTTTGAGCACTCCCTAAATATTTTTTGGTTTCAAAATAAAAAAATATGGGTATATTTTTTTTCGGTATATAACAATCCTAGGGGGTGGCGGCATTAAAAATACGACCTTATTTTTTTACATACATTTTTGGACCACTTTATTGTACAGGTTAAATAAAAGCTTGTTTTTAAAAAAATATTTTTTTTACATTATTTTATTTTGTAATTTTTAGTCCATTTATAAAAGCGTTGTATATTAAAAAGTGTTATTTTATTTTATGTACAAAGTTTAGCAATAGATATTAAAATAATTGCTTGCAATGAAAATAATAACTTGCAATGAAAGAGAGCAGAAGACTTGGCAAGCAAAATGTTGTTTGCTTACGTTTTGTATAAACATACATATGTACATATAGCAGCAGTTAATTTTATTTAAAGAAATGGCGTGTCGTCCATTTCCGCTGTAGCATGGCATATATTTAGGCGCAATATTTAAATTCTTCTGGCGGGGCGACATCTGGAGTCTTTTAATTGTATCTTCTTGATATGATGCCTACAGCGAGGTTCATATCTAGACTAGGAATAGCTTTGCTACACTACCGCCGCGGCGCGCCGGCAGCTTTAACAATTTTATAGTGGTTTTACGTTCTTTGGCAAATTACGCCCTGTTTGCCATAAATCTTACTATTTTTTGACCGCCTTTGAATCAAGACCCCTGGACCATATGAAGAATTCATTTAAATTTTAAATTGCATTGTCATCGTGATTGGAACTATGCTGAAAATTTAAAGTCTCTAACTTGCCGGGAAGTCAGTTTAAAATCAATTGGAAATTTCCGCGATTTGCGCGGGATGACCAAGTTAAATAAAAGCTTATAAAAATGAAGGAGGGCTTGATTACATACAAATTTTTGTGATAAAATTCCTTACGAAACGGCTGAACTCAGTATTCTTACTGATTTGGAGTAGCGGGTCTTCAAGGTGCAATCCCTGCTATATCAACACACAGAAGTAAAATATTAATTTTATAATTGCATTTCAATTTTATTACAAAATGCATTACATGCTTCCTAAACAACAACTTGAAAATTTTAAACGTAAACATAACATAAAATAACGTAAAAGTTTTTAATCGTTAAATGAGTCATATTAACAGCAGTTAAGGAGATATTGTGTTAAATGGTGTCAGAAGAAATAAAAGAAAAATAAAATAAAAATGGAAGATAGATTTGTGGCATCACCAGTGCAGAATATCGCAGAAATAGGAGCGCAATAGATTAAATTTCATCGCAGAGGGAAAGATTAGAAAGCTGTGTAGTGTATGGTTGTAAGAGTTAGAGTGCGTTGAGCTGACTATGAGTGAGAAGAGTGATGGTCGCAAGGACCCACCTCATGTTTTGTGTCTTGCAGTAAATCTAAGGTCAGTGTAGACATTTGTGATGTTTGCGGTGTCGTGTGATCAAATAAAGAGAGATACTATATACATACGTATTCGTGTACTTATGACTGTCGTATGAGCATTAAAATATTTCCATCTTAAAGAATCTAGGCATACGTATGTACATAATGGTACATACGTTTAACCAACCGTAAATTGGTTGCTACAAATAAAGAATATGATACATGGCTTAATGATGTCTTGATGATTTGGTTGTGCGACCATATTCCTGTACATACTCGCCGAATCCTCTGTCCATCAATTCGCTGTCGCTTTGTTACATTCGTGTGGTGGTGCTCAATTAAGGATCTTCAGTCAATAGCGAACTGAACTTAGCGTGGAATACCCAATGAGAGCAATGGCAATTTTGGCCCAATACCTATGGGCGACAGCACTTTGGCGATAGGTGCAATAGCCTTAACCACCTTGTGGCCGAGCGGATCGCGACGTACAATCGCATTGAAACCATTGTGAGCATCCGATGTGTAATCAACTGTGCGCAGATAACCATCAGCATCGATCAGTGAATATTGTCCCTTGACAACATCGCCTTGCCGTGACTCCGTTTGACTCTTAATGTCGCCTGTGTGATCATCGCGCACCGAGTAAGAGAACTCGTACTGAGCAGGCGCCTCAACTTCGACAGTCTTAACCAGTGCCGGCTTGAGCAACAGTGGCGCATGACCCAACTCAATGGCGGTAGCAGCGCCCAAGCCGATTAAAAATATACCGAGTAACTAAAAAGGATAATGAAAGGATAAGCAAAAAGCGTTAATTTGTCCAAAACAAAAAAAACTCAACTCACACTGAACATTTCGTATGTGTTTGAAAATAATTTGGATTTTCTAGGACTTTTCTAAGGCTACTTATATATGCGCACCGCTGTTTTTCGAACTACTGCACTCGTACTGCCGTATCTTGCTTGTACTCGCGGAACTCTTGCGTTGCACTATGATTCTGGCCAATTAAGTGCCAACTTTTATATGTGTGACCGTTCATGTCTGGTGGTTTGGAAATTTCGGTTGCCTGCAATCGGTTTGAATGCAGCGTCAGTGGACCAAGCGACAAATATTGGATTTGTGCAATAACAGCTATGGACTTTGTGCAAAATTTTCATGCCCATTTTGTTGTTGGCTTCTCAGTGCTCCACCCAAACAAACAAGAACTTTTTTCCATTTCATAACAGAATGCACACATTCATACATACATATGTACATACGGTTACTCGCATTAGTTTTTCTTTTAATATTTTTTTATTGCACAGTCATTTTTTTCCTATTTACCATATTGACCATATTTATATATATATTATGAAATATTTCTTATTTTCATTTAGGATATAAAAATATGCGTAAGTTCCACTCCAATGTGCTTGTGTGTGTAAGATTTTGCGAAAAGCTAGTTTTATTTATCCATTCGCTAGTAAATTTACATAAATGATTATTTCTCGCTCAAGTACCTGCATTTTTTGACATTTTTTCTTAAAGTTTGGCGCGTGTCTATGCGAATTTTTGCTTCGTTTTTTTTTTTTAATAAAAATATTCGCGGGTGCGTATGTGTGTATGCCTTAGTAATGTTAATCCTACTTGCTCCAGTTTTGGCCTGCAACGCACATTCTGCGTTCACCAATATCGCTTTGTATATGGTAGCAAAACTTGTCCGTCACAACCCTGCAGGAAAATTCCTGGGCACCGACGAACTAATAAAAAATGTATGACCAGTGGACAGGTAAAGTAAGTTTAAATGCGTTCTTCTGCTTTCGGAATGTCGAAGAAACATCGATGCATTGAAAATATCGATGTTCAGTTTCGATTCATCGAAATTTTTGCTATACAATGCATAAATGGTTGATGGATCGATACATCGTTGTTGGTTTTCATTATATCAAAAGTACTGACATCAAAAACTGCCTTAACTAACAGCTGTTCACTTGGTGTCAAATACATCATAAAAACTGACGAAATGTAGATATCGCAAAGACTGTCGTCAAAATTTTGGTGTCATGTGATTGTTACTCCGTTTTACGTCATTGATGTCAAATGTGAAGTTAAATTTTTGACATATTTAAGTAAAAACTACCAGTCGTTTAGCTATGGAAAATCCAAAAATGATTTCGGATTTTCCACCTAAAAGAGTCAAAGACCTACTTCTAGAAATTGGTCTGTTCGCGAAAGTCAAGGCCTGAGATGTTCTGAACAACTTTAGGCTTGTTTTATTTAACCATCACAAGCTAATCGCTAAATCTTGGTCAAATAAAACGAAATTAGCTTATTTACTATATTAGCCTAATTTTGACAGTTGTAGTGGCAAATGTAAGTTTTTGCATCTTTCTGATTGGCTGAAGCAGAAAATTTCTGATGCTGAATAGCAATGCCTCCAGTTCAATATACAAGCCAAGACAGCTTTTCGTAAGCCAATATAATTATGTTGTGTAAGTCTTCCATACAAAATAAGCTAATAACTTAAATTTCTGGTCAAATAAAACACGCCTTTTGTCAAAGAAATTTTGCCGAAAAAGCCAACCAGATAAAAGCTAGAAACCATAAAATAGGGTATAACTCCTGAAAAATGTCCATTGGAGCAAATTTTTCAAAATAAAAAGTTGTAGCGTGAAGTATGTACAAATTTCTTTTGTTTTTGTAAAGCAAGAAAAATACATAAAATCACTTTATACGTCCCAAAAAATTAGTTTACACATGCAACATTTGCTAAACTTTAGGATTTTTTTCTCGTACTTTTTTGATATATTTATTTGAAAAAAAAAACTTAACTGTTTTTATTTTTGGTTGTCAAGCTAAGAAGAGCGGTATGGATAGTTAATCACATTAATATAATAGTTATCATTCTTACAAACTATTAAATTTTTAGTAAAAAATTTTATTTGAAAATTCGGAAAAAATGGAATTAAATCGAATATGCACCACCGAATTTCGAACCGAATAATGGAATGGTTAGGCAGGTTCTGGTTGAATTGTTGAACCACAAGCCAGAACGACTCCTATGCCTGAAGAACTGGTTCCCAATCCAGTTAATGCAATAACAGCTTCTTCCAAGCCATTGAAAACATGCACTTTGTTAGGTCCACCACCTGTTCCACTTGCTTCTGCCTTCGGCCGCGCTTAGGGATTATAACCCTTATTAAGTAGAATTCTCCTTTCTGTGTTGCCGGAGAAGAGAGGCTTCCGGATGTCAAGGTATACAACACTTGTGTACATAACTCCGGCTACGCCATCCACAGTATTTTTGTGCAGAATCCACGTCGAAATTTGCAAAAAAAAGTGCATAGTGCAAACCGAATTTATTAATAAGATAGTGCTCGGAAATTTGAAACATTTATTTTAAATAAAATCTTAATGCTTTGATTACACGTGATGTTAAAGTTTTTGGATTCGGATTATGCGTTTGGATACAACAACCGAAAATCGTTGTACAAATAACTAAACCGGACCCAAGTTTCTCGATAAGAGGCAACAAAGATTCATTTTTGCCCGTTTATATAAAGTGGATAAAAATATACGTATATGCGAAGAGCAAATTTATCTGTTTAAATGAACCCCATTAATATTTAGTACAAACACACATCGATTTATATCTTTCATCTCGCCGCCAACACAGAATTGTTTTCGTACAAAATTACGCAAAAAAGCTTACTCGTTCGTTTTTAGGCATGCCATTGTTACGAATTTCGAAAGTTCGAAAATACAATTCGGATTACAGCATACTATTTCTACGATTCGTAGCAAAATCCGAATACGAAAGAGTTGCAGAATAGGGGTGTATATATCCATGGGGTCCAGACTTACTTCCCTAAAAATTTGAATATCTAGCTGTACAATTTACCCACACCTAGGAGGATTTATGCAGAAAAACCGGTCAAAAGTCAGATTTATCAAATGCTGCAAAAGTCCAGTAAAATATACTATTCCTAAAGCTAAATAACTAATCTGTTGAATGGTAGCCATGAAAACTCCCTTCGCTGCTTTCCCTTTGACATATGTATGTATGTCAACCTGAAAACAGTCACTGTTGTGATAGTTTTCTTAAAATCCTTTGAAGGACTATGAAACTGGACAAACATGCTCTCTAATTGGTTTCGGCAGGAACGATTATGTCCTTAGCACAATTTACCGCATTCCTTTTTTTATTTTTAAGTTATTTATTTGAATGAAATTCAAAATGCATCAAAACTTAAGTAACGAAAAATGTTGCACAATTCGCAGTTATTCGCAATCAAGAGCCGATCTAAAAGGACGAAGTGCATATCCGACCTCGTTGACATAAATATGTTCTAGCAAAACGAATTCCGTTATTGTATTTCTGTAAAAGATTTTTGTATACTTAAGGCATCCACACACCTATGCGATTCTGTCGCAACGAATCCGCACCGTTTTTGATGCTACAGACGTTACTGCTTCGTAAAAGCAAGTACGCAATTGTCAATTTATAGACAAACGAAAAGTATTTTTCAACAAAAATAAAATTCTTAACTTTTCTACATCAAATATGTTATGTTCTCTTACGTTCAATTTTGTTTTAATATTGTAAAATCCTTCTATTGACCTTTTCCGTTCTCAAAACGCGGCAGTCTGCGATTTCGGCACGACCAAAAGAAGAACTGTGAATGTTCGAATAAATCGCTGCAGCAAAATTGTATAAGTGTGTGGTTCCTCATTTAAAACTATGGTCGGCATTGTTGTAATTTTTGTCGGAACAGATTCGCACCGACAGAATCGCGTAGGTGTGTGGATACCTTTATGGTAACTGAATATAACTAAATATTTCACGAAAATTATCCTAAGATAAGTGTTATTAGCAGGGAACGGATTTTTAAGACCTAAAAACCTATAAAAAAAAGAAAAATAAAATAACGAAATAGGCTGGAAAAGGCAAAATAAAATAGCGAAAAAGGCAGGAAAAGGCACTAAGTATTGCAAATAAAAGCAAAATAAGGCACTAAAAAAAGACAGAAAATACGAAGAACAATCAAAAAATACATTTATTTTAGAAATGTTTATATTACAAGTAAAAAGAGAAAAACTATGAACTGGTTTCATTATATGAAAAATTTGTACTTTGAATCTTTGACTATTTTATCCTTTCGAGTTTCTAACTCATAGAACTTTAATCTGTATAGTTGTGGTAACGTTGAACCACAAGATGCATTTTGAAGTTTTCTGGCCGTATTTTCATTCGATTTTCGCGAAGAAAAGCCTTGAATATACTAAATGTGTGCTCGACGTAAGTTGATACAAGCGGCGCCCAATTTAAATATGGAACGTTTGAAACGTTCATATTATCAGGAATAAGGGCGTTTTCCTTGCCCTTTACAATTTTATCCACACCCCTTATTGTCTCCAAGCCTGCGTTAGCTGAGAAAACGGCTTTGAATTTTTCCAACACCAATTTGGCAGGAGGTCCCTGCGCTTCTATAAGCCGCATGGGCATGTGTATATTTTGTATTCTTAAAAAAAAAATTGTAAATGCTATAATCACTTTTTTAAAGGTAGAAAAGGCAAAAAAGGCAAAAAAAGGCAACATCAAATGTGTATATATGGAATCAGGGAAAGCTAAATCGTTGACATTCTTAATCGAATATACTCTATCTCTTCAGGAGAAAAAAAGGCAATTTCCATAAAATCCGTTCCCTGGTTATTAGTAATAAACCCCTAATTATGATTAAGTTTCATGTTTTATTTAATTACTGAGTAGAAAAACACATAAAATAATTTTGCCCAGTTTTTTTATGCGAATACTCATTTTTTTTCAAAAGCGATACAATTCAAAATTTGGCATTCTTGAAATTATGCGCCAAAAATGCACACAGAACTTTTATTTACCTTTCGGTAAAAGCTGGAGAAAATTTTTGTTATAATTTGTTGAAAAAAAACCAAAGTATTGTCTCCCTTGAAAATATGATTAGCATGTGCTAAGAAATAGTTTTTCTCATTTTCCAAAAAACCCGCAATTTTGAGTTGTGTCACCTTCGAGGATCGTGTGTGATATGTAGTTTGGCATCCTCGACGCGTAAAAACTTGCCACACATCAGATTTTTTTTTTTTACTTTTCAACTTTGTTCAGATCTTCCTGCTGGGTCTTATACATACAATGAGTTCATATGCATTTCAGGTATGTACATTAGGGTGGTCCTTAAATGTAGGAAGCAAATGTTTACGTCATATTTCCTAAGCCTCAACCCCTACATGGCGCACAGGGGTCAAAATTCAGATTACCCTATGGAGACGTCTAAAGCAGTGTTTGCATTATTCAACTTTGCGTTCAACAATTGCGTTCAACTCAACGCAGGGTTGCACGAAAAAAAAGTTGAATGGCTAAATGTTGGCTGGCGACCAACTTTGTTGAAAGCGATTAGTTGAAAGGCCATTCAACCAAAAGTTGAATGCAAAGTTGAACAATGCAAACACCTTTTTATGGCGAATATTTCGATATTTTTTCATATTTTGATATTTTTAGCCATTCAACTTTTTATTCGTGCAACCCTGCGCCGAGTTGAACGCAAATGTTGAACGCAAAGTTGAACAATGCAAACACACTTTAAACCGACTTCAATCGATACCATAATTTTTATGTTATATCTTCGAATACGGAGTTGGTAAAAAATTAATAATTAATAATTATAATTATTATAATTTTTTGATTCTCTATAGAGGAATCTGAACTTTGGCCCCCGTGCTCATTTGATTTTTAAAAACCACCCTAATGTACATAAATTCGTTTAGAAGTTCTGAAATAAGATATCAATAAGAATAAATATCACGATGAGATTTCAACATAAAATGTAAACTAAAGATTGTTGTTTACGATATTCTAATATCGAAGCAAACACCTTAATCTTCAAGAAAATAAATTATAGCAGGCGACAAAATGGCAATGCGTATGATTTTGTATCTCAACTTTATCTGCAACATGTCTTCAGTTACCCGTGTACATTATTTTGATAACTGAGGTAATGGTGTCAAATCACTTTGTCAGCTCAATAATGCATGCACCTTTTTCTTAGCTCACATCCCAATATATATGTATTATGGAAGTGTGAGAGTGAAATTTAACTGTCGAAATTGTGTACACGCAGAGCATTTAATCGGTGAGCTTTTGGCTGTGAGTTTTGCACCCAGTGCATATTGCATTTTATCACAATTACATAATCCTGCCTCAGGTTGTCAGATCTGTATCATTCGATTTTCGAAAATAAGTTGCCAAATTAAAGGGAAAAGTTTCATGAATAGGATTTACACTTGTTTAAAAATTGAATTCAATAGATTTCTTACCAGTCTTTCGTTTGACACCCATATTTTAATATTTCATATAACTTTTGTATAATTTAATTAAATTCCTCTTTTCAAACACGTGCCAACCCTGTTCAAATCTTTTCAACCGAAACCTATCTCCTACCTCTTTGGTTTGACATCCATATTTTGATACATATACATATGTATGTATTTCAATTACCAAATTGCCGCAATTCAAGTTAAATTTGATTTTTAGGCATGTGGCAACACTCAAATCCATTTCGATTGATACCAGTCTCTTAATAATTTATTAAACATATTCAATACTTTAAATTTAACTTTCTATTCAGTCACCTCAAAAATAGTATTAATTCTCAAACTAAAGATTTCTTAACACTCTTTCGTTTGACACCCATGTTTTGATATTTCATATAACTTTTGCATAATTAAGTGAAATTCCACTTTTAAAACACCTTCTTTAAAATATTTTCAAACTATAACCGTTTTAAATTATCTATGTGGTTTAGTTTAAATTGAATTTGATTTTTAAGTAGGTGGCAACCCTCCTAAATGTAGTTAAAAAATAAAGCTTTTTCAAAACCATTTCGATTGAGACCCATATTGTATTAATTGATTTAACTTATTAAATAAATTAATCTATTTTTACGAAGTGGCTACTCTTTTCGAAAGAAGAAAGCTTAAGCCCTGCAGTTTGTTTATTTAACATTCATAATTTTTTATTAAAATATAGCTCATACAATAAAAACTATCTTAATCCAATTTTGTTAATATTTTACAAATTAAAAAAACGAAACCTCGACAAATGGCTGCGCTGTCCTAATCACCAACAGTGATTTCGGGTGTGCAGTTTTGTTCCCCATGCAATTTTAGTATAATTGAGTTTTGAATTTTTTTTTTAACAGTGCGATGTATTTTCTTCTATATAAATTTAGTTGGACGAAATTTTTATATGGAAGAAAGTGTGCAGCACCGCCAATAAATGTTTTTTTTTTCAAAATCAACGCTATTTTACAGCCACTTGAAACTTGCACTTTATTACACTATTATCAAAAAATTGACTACAAAAGTGCATATCCGAAATTTTTCTAAAAATATTATTAATTTATTCACTGCAGGTCATTAGCACAGCGCCGCCTTTGTTAACTTTTTTAAACAGAATAAAATTTTAAAATCAGATTGAAACGTAGAATATGCTATATTTTTATAAAAAATTAATGAGTATTAGACAAACAAAAGGAAAACTGCAAATACTATGGATTAAAAGGGTGCGCTATTCAAATGACGAGGAGTGTATTAGTATTTTTTTTTTTTTTTGCATAATATTGAACAGTTACTTTGATCTTAATCTCAATATCGATCTAATCTTAATCTTAGTCGACTGTCAGTTTTTCGTTTGAAATTAGAGCCCAACGAGTTGGTCGCTTTTCTGATACATCGATGCTTACATTTTCTCCCAAGCGAACGCAAGAAGTTTTACATCAAAATTTTATTCAAAAAGTGATGACTTATCAAATATCCCTCGTATATGCATACGTTACATACATACGAATATGAATGCACATGAACTTGAAATTTTTTCTGATCATTTTTTGCCAAAACGTTTTTTGAATGCCCGCATAAATAAGTAGATAAATATGTATGTATGTATAGTATATGCTTTCTATATTTATTTTGCGCTTCAAATTCGCCATTTCTGGAAAAAACATTGGGTACATAATAAAAATTACAACAGAATTCCGGGTTTTTTTCTTTCACTTCCATGATGCGTAGTATATACCTACAATGTAGATCTATACAAATGCACAACTTATTTGCTTATCTGCAGAGTAAAGATCTACATAACCTTTTTGTTACTTTTTCACTACTCCCATTCTCTTGGATTTCGCACGTTTTTGCACAAAAGCATAAGGGGCCATTTAATTATTTCAAGTTGCCACATTTCAGTTGCAAGATGTCGTCAGGCGTATTAGCATTAATTGTTGTGTCGGTGATTCTAATCAGCAGCGCAAACAGCGAAAATGCATACACCTATGTTGATCAAGAACAGCTGAATGATACCTCGTTTCTATCGTGGAAAGACTTAAGGAATGAAGTTCGGCAAGGAGATGCAGTCACCTACGAACTGGGCACGCCACAATATCAAATATTAAATGCTGATGAGCCAATTGAAATCATCACAGCGGACCAACCCGGTTACTATGAGAGTCTCAGACGTTATGAGCAGGCTGCAAAAAAACCGAAAACGCAGCAAGAGCAGTCAACCACTCAAACGCCAAAGAAAGCAGAGTTGCAGCAAATGACAGAGCAGACCGAGGCTCCAGTGTCGTCAGATGATAAGAAGATTAAGTTTGTAATCTTTCAATCAAAGGATAAGAGTAAAGGGAGCAAAAAGCTAGTCGGTATGCGCAAATCGAAAATCCAGCAAGATGCTATGTTAGCTGAATCACGCGACAATGACCATCAATTGAAGCCTAAAAAGTGCAAGCACAACAAATTGCCTGAAAGAGCTGAGAGTAGCAAACTATCTACATTTAGTTCGCAAATAGACCGCTCAACGCTTGAGGATCAATCGAACATGAACAGTGCTAGCTCTGTCATAACAGACTCCCGTCATCAGCATGACAAAGAAATTCAAACAATTTTCCAACATTTCGCCACAACACCACAGCCTCTACAGCCACTGAGAATGAGCGAGCATATTTATACCACACAATCTACGATTGTCACTCAAAATAGCCATGCAGCTACGTCTGCGCTTGATCAGTCAAATAATGAACCCATAACTGCTGGATCCATACAATATGCACCGCTATCTGCAATACCAACGCCAGTTGAAACCCTTCCAGACTCGTCGCCAATGTTTCTTTTAGACGGAACTCGAGTCTCGCACATAAGCTCATCTCATCGAAACAGCAATCCTGAACGACTTTACGAAGCAAAAGTGAATGCGAAATATCCCTATTATGCTGCGCCACCACATATTAGAGATTTCGAGTATTTATATCGCTCCGCATTGGCAATGAATGAGCAATAAAATTAAATTTTTACTTGAGATAGTGTTAACTTCTAAAGAATAAAGAAAAAATCGAATGATCAGCTGACATCCTCTGATAAGTTCAACGAAGTAACACTTAAA